GCCGCTGAGCTGAGAAGAATTGAAAAAAGGCGAAATGCAATTTGGGAACTGCAGGGTAAAGACGCTTTCCGAAGAAGCCATTTCACTGGAACACCCCTTTCTTCGTCCTCTTGATCCTCGATGTCCTCTTGGGCGATCATCGTCCGCGGACTTCGAGGTCCTCAGAGATGGAGGATGAGTGGGAGGGGACGGCGCTGTCGAGGACAGGCGATAAATTTTAGACGCTTGCGTTGATCGCGACATAAATCGAAGTGGGTAATCATAACGGACATTCGCAAACCTTTTGACAAGGAAGTGGGTGAGGGTTAGAAGGGTCTGTTAAAGCTGAGGTATCAGGAATGGAAATCTCATCTCCGTGTCGTAGGTGATAACTACGTATCTCTGGCATTTATTAATGTTTTCTTTTGAAGGTAATGGTGGAAGTTTTGATAGTTACTGAAATATTTTCGGGGATAGAAATGCATGTTTTTTGTCAGTACTAAAGTTAGATTTGTCAAGAATTAAGGAGAAGACTCATTGTAACAAGTAGTCGCGCACCTATCTTTTATATACGGATTTTTTTCAGTGTCTACATACAATTCTCTCTCCAATTTTATTTTGTGCGCTAATTTTATTGATAAGTCGATAATGTAAACATATCATCACCTCTGAGTGTCATTGCAAGGAAACAACAGCGAAACGGGAATATTCTTTATGATATCCTCAGCGCCCAACATTTTCGTTCACATCTAAGATTAACGCTTTCGACTTGGAGTGAGTTATGGAATATGAGGCACAGAAAATGGGAGAACCCCGGGAAAGTCCGTTGCAAAGTCCGTTTTGTCAATAATGGATTTTCCAAGCATTGGAACTCCGGTAGTGAGAGGTGCGCGTTTGACCATTACACCACACATCCACCAAACGGCAGGGGAGATAAGACTCGTGGGTGCGGTTGTGTGAGTGAAGTGAAAGGGATTAGCTGGGAATGGGTGAGGGATAACTGGATTAGGTGGGAAGTGTGGGTGAGAAAAAACCGTCCGCGGATGCAGTCGTGCGATTGCCCACTGCGGGTCCCGAGGGCTGACGAGGCAGCTGACCGCCGGAACAGCGCGTCGCTGCTGGGGCGAAGCGACGCGATGGAGCGACTCGTTTCACGGCGCGTAACCTCGTTAGCAGCGTCAACCTGTTGCCCGGTCGCCATGGCGACCGGGCGCTCCGCCACATCGATTGGCCCAATCGCAAGCATCGCCCCTCCTCCCTCCACCCAGCACAGGGGGACGAGATCCGACTAGTATCTGGCGCTCAATGAAACTCGCGACCGAACTAGAAATATAGCTTCATTTATTCTTTGGCAGGTTTTACAGAACGTTATTAAAAAGCAACTATGAAATCCGTAGTTATTTTGCCGATGTAAATACTTTTCTATGAGAGCGAAAATTAGAGAGAGTATTACAAGTTTCCAACTACGACAAATGTCAAATGTCAACCACGCTTGTTAGTGCCTTTATTCTTAATTTAGCGTTCATGATACAGGCGGTCAGAGATGGAAGTGAGTGTTAAACGCCTGCATAATATGAACGTCGGTACGTCCTGCTTAATAGCCTCTGCGCTATTGTCGCGTTTTGCTGTCAGTCGTAAACGTTTTACTGTACACGCCACTCATTCGTCAAGGAATTTTACCACCTTAGCATGAAAAAATCGAAACATTACACCCTTGGCGGGGGACACTATTGTTCTATGCGTGTTTACGTGTTCGCGCTCAAAAGTGACAACTGCGATGTGACGTAATCAATAGACATTCTAGAGACATTGCGCCAACACATCCGCACGCAGCGTCATCGGATTTTCACTGTGGTTTAAATTTTGCGATCGATAGGACCTTGAAAAAATAGCCTTCCTATTGGATGTAAATATATGTTGAATTACATAATTTTAAACCTTAATTACTTAAAATTTTAAACTTAATAACCTTTAAAACTCTGAATTTACGGGTGCCAGATAAGCTTTATAAAATTTACGTTTTACAACAGAATACCGAAAAATCACTGCATGCAACAAGCATATACAATGTTTCTGAATAAGAGAGTAGTTTATAGTGCCATCTCGGTCATAATGGGAGGGAGAAAATTTGGTCTCAGGGGGTGAGTGAGTAAGTAAAAATTTAGGTGTCCGAACGCCGTCCCATGTATGCGTAATGCATGTTATAGGCGGAAGGTGGCGGTGTTACTGGCCCGAGGTATGTCGACTTGCCTTCCTACAGGTATCTCCTCACCCGACAAGCTCCGAGTGCTCGACGGGTCTCCCGACACAAGTGGTCGTGTAGCGCTTGTAAGTGTGTATGTGCTAGGAAAAGGATAGGACAAGAGTGAGAAAAATAAAATCACTTGCGGCCGGTGATCACTTTGTTGACTGCTCCGGCATTCGCCTTGGTTTGATCAAGAAAACCTATGATAAGCCGGCCGCTAGAATTCTTCTCAAGTTGAGTTCGAACCCAAGAGCCTGCCAGTGAGACACGAGGCAACTGAGTGGCAATAGTTGTCCCTGCGCCATCCCGGCCGTTCCTTTAAAACGTCCATCTCAGCCGTGGTGGGTGAAAGAGGGGTTTGTACCGCATTGGCCCGAGGCCCGCCTGACTGCGGGGTCAGGGCGGGTGCGAGGGCGGCGGCGAGGGTGGGCGGGGCGGGGACGAGGTCGGGGCGAGGGCGAAAGCGAGGACGGGGACGTGTCGGGGCGCGGAGAAGGAGAGGGCCAGGGCTTGA